TTCAATGCACTCAACATATTAAAATTGTAATCATGAGTATTTTGTTTTCCATCCACATAACCGTGTTTGTATGAGCTTGAGCACATTCCTGAGAGGCATTTGAATAATTAGTGCTAAAATCTGTAAGTGCATATTTATTCACGTAGATATGAAGGATTACACCTATGTGAAGTTAATATTAATAGAGAAATAAATGATAAAAAGAAGTTAAAATTATCTAACTTAAAAGTATAAGACATTTATAATGTACCTTGCAATGAGTCATTTACTTTCAAAAGTGGCTTTGTTTTTAACGACATTCGTGTAAAAAGTTACCTCGTTAAACATTTCAGGAAGGTATACTCAGAATAAAAGGTGGTTCTAGCCCATACACATACTAAGGCCAATTGAAAACAACAAGAAATATATGTAACAATTTTAATATGTTGAGTGCATTGACAAAAGCCACAGGTATTCAACATACATATTTATTTTTGTTACGGGAGGGCTTTTGTCCGCCTTGTCATTTTGACGGGAGGGCTTTTGTCCGCCCTGTTAATATCACGGGAGGGCTTTTGTCTGCCCTGACATTTTCACGGGAGGGCTTTTGTCCGCCCTGTCATTTTCATGGGAGGGCTTTTGTCCGCCTTGTCATTTTTTGACGGGAGGGCTTTTGTCCGGGAGGGCTTTTGTCCGTTTCCCCGGTTAGACAACAGATTAAGTGAATTTTATTTAGTTAGTACACATTAACCAAAGTTAGACTTAGCAGAAATTTGAAAAATACTACAATGTGATTGGACAAAAAATAATGTTGATCATTAAGTATAATTAACATTTATATTACTGAAAAATAATAATTTGTTCTAGGTACACTTTATGCATTTTTAAAATTCTTTAGAAATGCCAAACACATGTGTTTATTTATGTTTTAAGAATGGATTAAGAGATTATGATTAAACAACTGAAATAAGTAGTGATGTGTCGTTAAGGTAGGAAAATGTAAACTTAATAGTATTTTGACTTCCACACAAAATACTAATTTGCTAAATATACCATTTGCAAACAGAGCAAAATAAGTGAAAATATGGTAATTGAGGATATTTTTTTTAAAACTGTGACAAGATAACAAAGACTGAATGTTTTTGAGAATTAAAAGTTAATAGCATTTCTACGGCATAATTGACCGTAAATAAATATGAAATGTATCTTACAATTACTGACAACATCAAAGTGTAATCCTTCTATTGTTTGTTGTCATCTATGTTACTATAAATACTTTCAACATAATTTTCATGGTATTGGAGACATTTTATTATTGACCAATCTACTTTAAACTGTACTTTGACAAGATAATTCTACATAATGTGCATAATAATAATGACAACTTAAATGAAATAAGAATATATTATAATTTGACAAACAGAATCAATACTAAAAATGATTTCAGGAATCAAATACAACATCAGAAACAAGACCTCCACTGTGGATTAAATGCCTGTACTTGTAACATTTGTTACATAAATCAACTTATAATGGATAAAAATATAAACAATCTCCAAAAAATGTTTTCACTCTCATCATGTCAAAAAAAACACAAAAACAACAAAAACTCGGATCATTCCCTTTAACAATAAAAATAATGAAATTATAACAGTTATCAGGTCTGGTTATTTAAATTTTTCACTTTTGCTCATTATTTATTACAATTAAAGCCATGTTGACACTTACTAGATCTACAAATAGTTCATGTAAATAGAAAATGTTTTTCACATATTTCTGTTGGGAAAATTCCAGACTTCGTTGTATGTATGTTCATTAGAGATAATGGAAAGAAACTCTTATGCTCCCTAGCACCCCTTCCCCCTAGCACCGGCTTAACCTGTATCTTTAATCTTATATAATAAAGTATTTAAATCAATAATCCTGAAGGAGTCGAAAAATACAACAACACTGAAAGCCACAATGGCTTCTTCACAACATCATCCTAATAGTCAATCAGACTGTTAATATTTAAATGTTTCACAAGTCTGTACAGCTTACAATTAATACATACATAAAGGCCAACCAATCATGCTTTTTTTGTTGAGTGTCATGGGAACATTTCTAGACAAATACCAGTACATCTATTATGTAACACTTTTATCACCTATTCTCTTTTAAGGCTTATAAATCCTGTGTGAAATGTTAAAAACACACTAAATAAATAAAGCCTTAATGATGCTTGCAAAGCTACAAAGAATGCTGTTCTAACTTAAATGTCTCAACTTTTATCTTGCTGGTGTGAAAAACATTGTATTTTTTAAGGGGATTAAGTCTAAAATATGCTTACATGAGAAAAAAACGTCAGTACCTATAAATGTATGGTGAAATCAATGAATAAATTGGCTTGATATTGCATGATATCCTACCTAAACAATGCTGAATGTATTATGTTAGGGACCATTGCTCTATCCTTTTCTTGTATAATATGTGTATAATAAAAATGTGACACTTTTTTCTTGCTAAGACTTTCTCTAAAAATGGTAATTATAACAACAAGGGTATGAAAAAAAAAAAACATAATTTGAATACAAGTTTTTTGAAATACTTCTGGTATGTTTTACCAGTTTCAGCTCAACAACATGTAACACCATAAGAAAATAAACATTTTCAAGCACTTGTATTTCCTGCATCATCAACTTTACTACGTGTTAAATCAGGGTCTTTCTAATAAAATCCTGGTTACAAAAATGGGTAATGTCCTCATCTTTTGCACCTTTTCTGATGTTTTTTTTATATTTGGCTTTATAATATCATGTAATAAAATAGAATTATTAATATTCATGTACTTACTTTAAAGTCTTTCTAGACATAAAATAATGTTTGCTACTGCCATGATTATTATTTATTTTTTCATAGATTTGGTTAATAAAGATTAAACTATAGGGCAGCGTTTTACTAACATTGCGTAAGTTTTTCCGTAAGAATTATCGTAACTTTACGCTTACGTTTAAACTTACGCAAATCTTAGGCGTAAGTACGTTAGTAAAACGCTGCCCTAGGGTCCATAAAAAGACAATAATTATTTGAAAATGACCAGTCAAATGGAAGCTTACATTTTCTTGGTATGGTATCTATTAATGAAAAAAAAAAGATTATAAAAAAATTATTAATGAATGTGAACACTTTATTAGAGTATCTTTCAAATGAAAGTATGTTGTAAAGTTTGTTGTAACTATAATAACAGTATAATATATATACAATGTAATTGCTAACTGGGAACACTTAACCTTGTATAAGATATTTCACAAAAAAATGTAAAAAGTACATTACAAATGACAAATATAAATGGTAACAAAATGCAAATAACTGACTCAAAAAATTATATATATTAAACAAAATATAACTCACAAGTAAGGCAAGAAACAAAAATGATACCACAGAAATTATGGTTTCATAAGCAGATTCTGGTTTTTTTAACAAACATGTGAAGATTTCAAAAAATTCTAGTTGAATACAAATATTTATATAAATGCCCATATTCAATGCTTAAAGTATATACTGAAAAATTATGAACACTTTGTTTTAATATCATTAGCATAATATAAAACACAACAGAATAATGCTAAAATTCCAGCCTTGTTGATTTGAGTAAAACATTCTTTATGTCTAATCAAATACAAAATTATTGTATTCCTTTCTTTGCTTTAAAGTTTCTATGTGTTAAGATTTAATTTTCCAGAAGAATCTTTATACGAGGGATGATCAAAAATAACAAAGACATTTGCGTTTGCATAGACACAGGTGGTTTAAATAAAGTAAACCATAAACTGAAACTAGAAATGTGTCCATAGGACACGGGTGCCCCCACACTCCACCGATTTGTCAATCTTATGTCTCTTGGTCAAATTTTTTTTTTGGCTACATGTGCCCAAGTTAAAAACTAAAAATCTTTTATTCAGTAAAGGGCAAATACTACAAATACTGAATTAATCCACAAGAAAACCCCAAGGTGCATAAGTACATATGCTGACCAACATTCTTGTAAACTTTCAGGCCTACAGGTCAAATACTTAACACAAGTTGAATATTGTAAATTTTTACTAAGTCAAGGGCAATAACTCTAAAAATACTAAAAATATCCACACGAAAATACACAGGTGCATAAGTACACATGCTGATCAACATTCCTGTAAGGTTTCATGACTCTAGGTCAAATACTTTTTTAGTTACCTGCGACACAAGTTGAAAATTGGAAATTTTTACTAATTCAAGGGCAATAACTCTAAAAATACTAAATATATCCACACAACAATACCCAGGTGCACAACTACATATGCTGAGCAGCATTCTTGTAATTTTTCATGTCTCTAGGTCCAAATACTTTTTTGAGTTACGTGCCACACAAGTTGAAAATTGCAAATTTTTACAAAGTCAAGGGCACAAGCTGATCAACATTCCTGTAAAGTTTCATGACTCTAGGTCAAATACTTTTGAGTTACGTGCAACACAAAAGAGAACGGACGGACAAGGGTAAATCTAAATGCCCGCCACTAAAAGTGGGGGCACAAAAATGGAAAAGTAACAAAGGGCAATAACTCTGTAATTAATTTAGATAGAGTTATGGTTCTTGTGCACTGCACTTCCCCTTATTGTGTTTGACCATTGTATGAAGTAGTTTTCAAGTTATGCTCCGGACAAGGAAAAGTAACAAAGGGCAATAACTTGGTAATAAGTGAAGATGGAGTTATGGTTCTTGTGCACTTCAGTTCCTTTCAATGTGCTTGACCATTGTATGAAGTTGTATTGAAATTTCAACCATTAGTCTTCAAGTTATGCTCCGGACAAGGAAAATGCAACGGACGGCTGGATTGGCTGACCAACCACCGAGTGACTCCACTCCTATATACCCCCTAAACTTCATTTGGGGGGTATAATTAATATACACATGTATAATTATGCTTCATAGCGGTACCAAAAAATACCACTCAAAACAACAACTGTTAAACATTTGTGAGGCACCTGTATGTGCCTACATACTGGACAAATCAGTAGCTGTCCAAAATTAATCATATTTATTACACCTCAGCTCTAGCAATTAAAGTAGTTCATGCATGCACTGTCCCAGAAATAGTTTCATTATTTTCCATATTCTCTTCGGAACTGTCTCCGCTGCTTTCAATAAATTCAGTATCATTAAACTGTGTAAAGTTTTGTTCAGTCTCTTGTACATCTTTATTCAGACTACCTCCTGTTTTCTCTAATATCTGGTGAATATCTAGAGCTGTACCTGAAAATACAACAATCAAAATGAGTTAACTGACTGAAGCTTGTTTAACATGTTTGGTTCATTAAACTGAAAAATGGAAATAATGACATGCATGTGAATTTTACATGTTTGGTTTTTGTGTCGCCTTGAAAAAGGGGCGTCTTTGGCGTTGTCGGCGTCGGTGTCCCCTTAAGCTTGTCCGAAGCATAAGTCAGTCACTATAAGTCGGATTGACTTCAAACTTGGTATGCATGCTTCTTATAATGACCTGAAGTGCAGTGCACAAGAACCGGTGCTCTGCACTTCTTATTTTTTGAGTTATTGCCCTTTGTTAATTTTCATGCTTTATTTTTGTCCAGGCCATTTCTCCTAAAGTATAAAAGCTATGGACTTGAAACTTCGTATGATGATAGATCTCATTAAGAAGAAGTGCAGTGCACAAGAACCAGTACTCTGCATTTCTTATTTTTTGAGTTATTGCCCTTTGTTAATTTTCATACTTTATTTTTGTCCACGCTATTTCTCCTGAAGTATAAAAGCTATGGACATGAAACTTCAAAGGATGATAGATCTCATTAAAAAGAAATGCAGTGCTCAAGAATTGTTTACTTTGCATGTTTTTCATTTTTTTTTGAGTTATTTGCCCTTTGTTAAATTTTCATACTTTTTTTGTCCAGGCCCATTTCTCCTAAAGTATAAAAGCTATGGTCCTTTTAAAACTTATAGGATGATAGATCTTAATTAAAAGAAAAAGTGCAGTGTACAAGAACTGGTACTCTGATGAAGACCTTATTGATAAGAAGTGTAGTGCACAGAAACTGCTGCTCTGCATTTCTTATTTTTTGAGTTATTGCCACTTTGTTAATTTTTCATATTTCATTATTGTTCTGGCCATTTCTCCTAAACTATATTTGTTCAAAAAGGTGACAACATCCGACTCATAGAGTTCTAGTTTTAATGTTGATTTTAACACAATTTTGGAAATATCTTGGTGGTAAGTCCACCTAACTGGATTGCATGGATAACTTAATGGAAATTACCAATTTCTTTGCAAGTGACCAATTTTAACTCATCCTGCATGATTTCTGAATCAAATGTGAGCAGAGAAAAATATTGTCTGAGCAACCTCTAGATTATACATTCAATGTTCTCCCTATTGAGCTAAGCAGGCAGATCAAAATATAAATACAAAAACTGCTAAACCGAGAATAATTTAAAGTTAAGCATCTCTTTTATCCATTAAAAAGACTCTAATGTGTCTTTTTGACATGATGCAACTAGAAATTATATTTCGAGATTAATGTTCCATTAATGATGTAGGTCAAAACCAATAACTCACTCTGTTTTCCCGAATAATTATACTAATTGTGAAAATTATCCAAAATTGAAAAGCTGTGTCATGCATGCATTTCACTCAAGTCTGGCTAAGATTAGCACAAAAATACAATTTTAAATTTATCCTAGAGTGTATTCCTTAATTATCTTATGCATACCCCTTTGTATCGAAGTGCCCCACTGAGCTATGTTAGAAATTCAGAAATTCATTTTTTTTCATGTTTTGACCTCAGTGGAGTTCCTCTAACTTCATTACCAGGTTTTAATATTTTAATCTTAATATTTATATCAGAAAAAAATAACACAGCTAACATTCAGGACAGAGTTATACAACTGCTGCAGTCAACACTTGACTAAAAATCCAACTTATTTAATAGTGAAAAAAGTTGTAAAGGGAGTTTACCAATAAAACTTATAATGATAAATCAAATTATTGTTGTCTCCCTTAGTTGAAAAAAAAATCTGAATAATTATATGCATTATGAATAAACTTTGTTACGGGATAAGGTTATCAGTACAATAATAATCAAAGTCTCTTAACTATCGCAAATCAACTTTTTAAAGCATAACACACTTATATAATCTTAGCATGGACTGAAAAGCATAATTTTTTGTGTGTGCTAATTTCGGTTACCATAGGTTACCCATTTATTTTTCCAAATAATAAGCATAAAAATTAGCATAGATTAAATAATTCTGCAACAATGACAAAACATTGAATTAATTTTTACTGTTGTTGATTTTTAAAAATATGTGTTATAAGCTTGAATAACTTTACGTCTTTTTTCATCACAAATGATTTTGGATAATTATTTTGTTTCTATCATAGTACAAGATTATAATTTATTAGTTGGTATGTCAAATTGAGTAAACCTAATGAGTTATCTGTTGTTCAGGTAATTTCAACAAGTTTTCCATACTTTTCAACAAAATTATGATTTCCATGAATTGTACATTTGAAAATCAGCCCTTAATATCGCTCTGCTTTTAGATATCTGACCGTGACCAAATACGAAGTCATTTCTGGTGACCTTTCAGCTTTCATAAAACAATCTTGCCCATTAAAAAATGACTATTATTTCAAGTTAATTTGCTAAAAATAACTTCAAACAATTTTTTTTTCTAACAAAAATCAACAATTTGTTTAACTTCTACAGATAACAGTATTTTGATACTTCCTCTAATGCTTAAATCTGTAAAAACCGGTTTGATTGCATGGCTAAAAATTATAAGCTTTCTTGGGAAATCTGTATTATAATAAAGAAGGCGAAACATATATGTCATATAGGTCGTTATCAGATCTACATGAAAGAAATAAGTAGATCTGAACTTAAGATTGACTATCTGTCATACTGTAACGGACAAAGTCATATGATAAAGTTTCTTTTGCTGAAGTTGTTGTGCACTGTAATCACAAAGTTAGTTTGGGCAAGTCTCATTTTCTTATCACACAAAAAACATTTATCAGATAAATATACATACATGTATTATAACTGTATCACTATATACATGTATTATAACTGTATCACTATATACATGTATTATAACTGTATCACTATATACATGTATTATAACTGTATCACTATATACATGTATTATAACTGTATCACTATATACATGTATTATAACTGTATCACTATATACATGTATTATAACTGTATCACTATATACATGTATTATAACTGTATCACTATATACATGTATTATAACTGTATCACTATATCACATCATGAGGACTTGATGATACAGTATGCATTACTATTTTGATGGTTCACTAAGACAGCAAATGTCTGAATTAAAAATTAAAAAGAACAAGATATGTTTGTAAAACATGTATGCCCCCTATCGGCAGCCAATTTGTCATGTGATCAGGTTATTATGCATGACTTCTGACCCAGTGAACAAGCAATTAATAAGGGTTATCTAGTGTCTACTGGTCATGACTAGTCACAAGGTAATAATTATTGTGACCCCATAGGTTGTGTGCAGCAATTAAAGTTATTAAAAATCTTACCAAATAATATATACATAAATTTTATGAATCACGTAGGCCTCATTAATGACAGCCAAGTTGTTATATTACATAAGACCTTCAAATGTGTATACCAAAAGCACATAAAAATATCAACCAAGGCAACTTAAGTTGTTGAGTTATTGGTCAGAAACGGTTATTAAGTACAAGGTCACTAAGACATTGACCCCTTGACCCAAAATCAATAGGGGTCATCTACTGACCAATCTGTCATGACCAATCATCATACCAAGTTTGAAGTTCCTAGGCCTAAGGGTTTTTTAGTTATTGATCGGAAACCGTTTTTACCTACAAGGTCAATGAGACCTTGACCTTTGACCCTTTGACCCCAAAATCAATAGGGGTCATCTGATGGTCATGACCAATCATCATACCAAGTTTGAAGTTCCTAGGACTAAGGCCTAAGGGTTCTTTAGTTATTGATTGGAAACCGTTTTAACCTACAAGGTCAATGTGACCTTGACCTTTGACCCCAAAATCAATAATGGGTCATCTGCTGGTCATGACCAATCATCATTCCAAGTTTGAACTTCCTAGGCCTAAGCGTTCTTTAGTAATTGATCAGAAACCGTTTTTACCTACAAGGTCAATGTGACCTTGACCTTCCCCCTTGACCCCAATATCAATAGGGGTCATCTGCTGGTCATGACCAATCATCTTACCAAGTTTGAAGTCTCTAGGCCTAAGCGTTCTTTAACTATTGATCGGAAACCGTTTTTACCTACAAGGTCAATGTGACCTTGACCTTTGACCCCTTGACCCCAAAATCGAAAGGGGTCATCTGCTGGTCATGAGTAATCGTGATACCAAGTTTGAAGTACCTAGGCCTAAGCGTTCTTTATTTATTGATCAGCAACCGTTTTCACCTACAAGGTCAATGTGACCTTGACCTTTGACCCCTTGAACCCAAAATCAATAGGGGTCATCTGATGGTCATGACCAATCACCATACCAAGTTTGAAGTACCTAGGCCTAAGCATTCTTTAGTTATTGATCGGAAACGTTTTTTACCTAAAAGGTCAATGTGACCTTGACCTTTGACCCCTTGACCCCAAAATCGATAGGGGTCATCTGATGGTCATGACCAATCATAATACCAAGTTTGAAGTACCTAGGCCTAAGCGTTCTTTAGTTATTGATCGGAAACGGTTTTTACCTACAAGGTCAATGTGACCTTGACCTTTGACCCCTTGACCCCAAAATCAATAGGGGTCATCTGCTGGTCATGACCAATCACCATACCAAGTTTGAAGTTCCTAGGCCTAAGGGTATTTTAGTTATTGATCGGAAACCGTTTTTACCTACAAGGTCAATGTGACCTTGACCTTTGACCCTTGACTCCAAAATCAATAGGGGTCATCGGCTGGTCATGTCTAATCACCATATCAAGTTTGAAGTTCCTAGGCCTAAGTGTCATTTAGTTATTGATCGGAAACCGTTTTAACATACAATGTCAATGTGAACTTGACCTTTGACCCCTTGACCCCAAAATCAATAGGGGTCATCTACTGGTCATGACCAATAACCATACCAAGTTTGAAGTTCGTAGGCCTAAGGGTTCTTTAGTTATCTCTCGGAAATCATTTGGTCTACGGACCGACGGACCGACAAGTGCAAAGCAATATACCCCCTCTTCTTCGAAGTGGGGGCATAAAAATATGGCTGGCAAACACAGATCCAGGTCATTTTACCGGAAGGGGGTTTCAAAATACATTATAATGACAAATGGAAATGCATAATTCAGACAGGGTTTAATATTTTCCTAGTTTTCAATAGTCACATTTTCGCACGATTTTCACTCATTTTTAGGTGATTTTCACAAAACATATTACATCACCCTAGAGCAGTAATGCTCTAACTTCTTATTTAATGATTTAACAGGAGTTAACCAGTTACTGCACTTGACATTAAGTCCTAAGCTGGGAGGGTTTCCACATACAATATGAAATCTAAAAAGATGGTAGTGGAGAGATGGATTGACCAGAGGCTAGGTTATTAATGGCCATTAAGACTGAATCAGGTACAAAGTGCCAACTATGATCATAACAATGTTCATTTGTTCCTTACTCATATTAAACTTCATATAACTATGAATTATATATCTACTAAATTACATGGGTCATACCTATATTTAGCTGGCTTTCACAAAAACAAGGGTAAAAACATGAAAAGTAGATTAGACTGGCATGATTTTAACACATTATTTGGTCATATCTTGGTGGTAGATCAAACCTGACTGCAGGCTTTCCCCGATTACCAAATTTTCCACAAGTGACACCTCATGATTTCTGAATCAGTGGTGACAGACAGAGACAAATGAACAGTCCTGATCAATTATCATGGAGAAATTAAACCTAGCTGAAGAATCAAATAAGCAAACCTAGATTACTTACTCAATTCTCTCCTTATTTAGCTAAGCTGGTGGACAGTAGTCTGACAACATTAGACAAGCATTAAAAACTAAAAGATTAAAAGCATTCCATCTCTAAGAGGAAGATAACCTTGAAATTAGTGAAAAGAAAATGCAAGCAGCTCTTGAACTTATATCTAAAGCTGGTTTCCAAATAAAACTTCCTGACATTAAAAGAAAAATGCAGACTCATAAGTAAATCAAATTATTTATAGTGTCAACTTGCTAAAATATATATATAACCTGTTTGTAGTTAATATTTTAACATCTGGTAAAGGGGTGAATCCTCCAAAACGGAGACAATGATGTTTCTGCTGGAGTTTAGTTGGTATCGTATTTTTATTTCATCACAGTGATAAATCATGTATTACTTTGAACTGTTTCCTTATAACAGACATTTGTGCCATATGATCATGGCCTGCAGTTTTCACTATTCAGTCAGTACATATTTTGAATTTTTTCCCTAAGTGAACGATAGTTTTGTCCAGATTGAAAATGGACAAGTCAAATGAAGATATTGAGTGTGATTGCTTACGATAAGAATCACATTACCAATCCTCTTTCTCCATCCTTGTTATGTTATTTTTCACTCACAAATTGCTTAGTTTGTGTGACCAGGCTTCTTAAAAATATGCAAATAATGGCTATATGACAAGAAACTCACAAAAATAATAGAATCTTTTCTTTTTATTTCATTTAAAAAAACCCTAACAAATCATCATCATTATTCTTTATAGATATATTTATGTTTAATCAATGTTAAAAACAAATATTTGTTGAAAGAATCACACAAAGTCTGAGGTAGGTTTAATCATTGATAAGGTGCATTTTAAGACATATGAAGTAAAATATAATATTGAAATAGATTTTACTTTGGCCAAATACTTTCTGCAGGCTACTCAGATAGAACTAGTTTTAGTCCAATGATAAATCATACACTTTAATGTTACCAGTATGTTGACGCACATACAATCTGTTTTCATTCTGGTAGTATGCCACCCCTACTGGACATTCTATTCCTTGTTCTTTAACCAGTAGAATCTTCACCTTGGTCAGGCCAGGTGATAATTGATGTATATTGTATGACCAAAATCCACATACAAATACTGCTCCCGACCTATCTACAGTCAGTTGAAATGGCCTCTTCAACTGGTCATCCTTGTAAATGGCCTTGACTTTCCCATCAAAAGTTAAACCTATCACACAGTTTTCTTTATAGTCAGATACATATATAACAGTGTTGTCTGCACTGATTGTTATGAAACAAGGATTAACACACAGACATTTCCCATGATGATCTTTCTTAAATATTTCCAATACTGTACCAGACATATCAAGTATCTTCACTGTTGCTGGATTGGCTGTGTATGATACTATAAGCTTGTTGTTACTATAGGCAACACCATGACAACATACTCCTACTTTCATATCTTCACTGTTGGTCACTGTCAGAGACTTTGAGAATGTTATCAGTCTTAATATTCCAAGCACAGGAAATGTGATAGCAACTTTGTTATTGTCAACTTTAGCAACTGCCCAAGGATACGAAGGCAGGTCTATTGTATCATATGATGAAGTGCTGACTGACATATCCTTGAATATTATCAGCTCACTAGAGCTAAAATTAGTAACCAGAAGACAGTTTTCAGATAATAAACAAAGAGATGAAAAGGAGTGACGTTTGAATATAATATCTGTGTAATAACTTGCAGTTCTTGGTACTTCAGATTCATGTTTTTCTTGATAGGTGAAAAATTTGTCACAATCTTGTAAATTGGTTATTTTTTGTTCAGAAGCTTTGCATTCAACTTTGTAGTAATGAATAAAATTGTCTTTACATTGTTTATCTGCATGTGGTTTCAATTGTTCAATGATTTCCTGTCCCTTCTTCATAGCAACAAACAGTTGCCACCTTTGATCTGTACCTTGATGATGAACCAGCTCTGTTGAAATGGCTTTTATTTTTATTTTCATTTTAAAGGTTTTCTCTGTGATTGCCTGCAAAATTTTTCTCGTCATTCTTTTTCATGGTTTGAATTTTCTTCTTTATTTCATTCTCCTCATCATTTAATAACTTTTCTAATTTCCTTTGATGTTCTTGTAATTTTTCAATCTTCTCTTTTTTCTGTTGTTTAAGTCTTTTTAAGGTTTCTTCTATCTTTTTGTCAAAGTCTTGAATTACTTTTTTCTGATGTTTATCAAACACTGATAATATTTCTTTCTTTTTTTTCATAACTTTATCTAAAGTCACTGTTTCTTGTGAAGCAACACATTTCATGTTTATGTTCACATGTTTTTCTGTATTTTCCAAATCTTTCATAAACGTATCAAGATTTTCAGTAAGTTCTTTAATTTCTTTGCTGTTTTCAATTCCTGGGACAAGAGTTGGTAAATGACTAACCATACTACAATTCCCATGGTCTTGAGTCTTGCATTCAGTACAGGCAAATTTCTTACAATCTTGACAATAGAACTTGACTAATTTATCTTGATGAACAGAACATTTCTGTAGACAGAAATCCTGTGGCATATTATCATTATCTTTGATGGTATGGGATTTTATGTATATTTTATGGTACTTTATGCAAGTCCCACACAAGTACTCAAAACATTCCTCACAAAATCCTTCAGCAGGAGCATATTGCTTGTCATGTTTATCACAAACCTCACAGAACATTTCTTTAACTTCATCTGAGTCCTGTGTAAATGAGGCACTGAAATCACTTCCAATTGAAAATGCCATAATTCAGGTACTTTGGTAACCACACACTTGTGTTTTGTTTAAAACAATCTCAATATCTAAAGTAATACCGATATTAAATCGTTATTATCTATGATAACTACAGCATCATATGATCATCCCATGACAAATTTTACACAACGATAACTACAATCTTATCATAAGGTACTCAAATAAGGTCAGTGTTTTAATAATAGTAGTACAAATGTTAAAATGTACATTCCTTGTCAAATGAAATTTATTATGTAATTTGTTATCTTTTTAACCAAGGTTGATAACAATATTGAAGAATATACATTGCTGACTATTCATATGTTTACTATATGAGGCTGAATACAAATCTGAAATGCTCATCAGTCTTTATGATTTACTTACACTTTGTTTAAATCCTCAAGTTAGGAAAATGTTTTTTAATGAATTCATACATTCTTCATCATTTAGACTATTGTTACACTATTTTTATCATTGTACTACATTATATTTCTGGTATTAAGGACGTTTCCACGGGGTTACTATTCTCGTTTTTGAGTTATCTGCCCCTGAATCAGAATTTACTACTTAATTTGAGGTAATTTAAAAGGCAGATAACTTATACATACGTAAATGAATTCTTGATTTCACTTCTGGATAATGTTTTTCTTTTTATTGTTGAATAAAAAACATAATAACATACAATTCCTTATATCATTTCTGTTATTTTTTTTTCAAAGAAAATAAAGGTACTTTAAATTCATAAAAAATAGGCCAATTTTTAAAGGGATACACAGGCAAAATAATGACAAAAATACAAAAATGATCTTCTGTACTCAAATCACCCTAAAATGACTTTTCCTAAAGTCCCAGCATGAATTTCTGTATAGATTCTTTATATTTTGGGTTTGAAGCTTAAATATATCTATATATGTTGAACGAAATTTGGTCGCCAACAGAATCACCGAATAGTTTAAAAACAAGTCATGTGATTTGAACAAACCCTGGAAGTTACTAAAACAGGTATTGCAGATATTGTATGATTAAAACAAGTCTAAGTAATTGATTTGACATGTTCTTTAACGATTCCAGAGTACACAGTAACAACTATTTTGAAATCATAGCGCTCTAACCTGACCCACGCGGGTCAAGTTAGGAAAACACCATTTTATTCTTTATATGGAGAAAAGTTTTGTTCTTTTTACTGTTTAGTGCATTCATTTTGATGACATTTACAGAATAATGAATGAAAAATTAAAAACTAAGAAATTAAAATTTTGCCTGTGACTCCCTTTAAGAAAAAATGCACAGATTAAGAGAAGAAGTGGGGAAAAAAAACTATCCACTCTGAAAATGTTCTTGAAATTTTGCATATTGACTATGACGATGGTAAGCTTCATGAAAATAAGAAGAAAAAAATGTGTTGTTCCACTTTATTGTAAATTATCTGCCCTTGAATTTAACGAAAAAGTCCAATTCAAGGGCAGATAACTAGAAAATGAGAATAGTGACCCCAATTTTTTTCCGTGTAAAATGTTTCTGTAACATGCCAAGTTTAAAGAAATTCTATTGAACAGCTTTAATTTTGCCTACAATTGTCTATATGAAAACTCTGGAAAACGTCTTTAAATCAATTGAGTAAACCTCCTATCATTTACATCTAATAGACCGGTTTGATTTTCAGAAAAGACCCTCCGTTAAGAGTCTAACGGCATTTTTTAGTACAAGCAGGTAGTCAATCGTTTTTACATAATTCGGATACGCTGAATCCATTTTTTGCTCTACCACGGCTGTACTCGAAGTCCTTGACCTTCTAAAGGTCAAATCAAAATGGCCGCCATTGTCCTTTACCATCTACTTAAAAAATTATTATTTCTGGTACATATCGTATCGTATGTCCGTAAATCTACATGGAATAAAGTTTCAATTACTTTTAGGAATAATTGGCTGATAATTATACATGCTTTACACATTGACTGCTGTGCCGGCCATCTTTTATTTCAAAATGGACACCTTTTTTAACAAATATAAGTAAAGTGCTTTTTAACAAATGGATCCTTCTGTAGGAATGAGTATCAAAAATTGTAAAATGATATAAGCAACATGTCATGTCGAACTGTAAACACTGTGTAGGTATACAGCACACTTTAAATTACATCATTACTTCAAACTATCACAGATCATTCCTTTTGGACAATTAATCTATGTCAGGTATCTGAGATCCCAAATGTCTTACATAAAACCTGCAAATTTTAATTTACCATAAGATATTTAAGTTTTTTTTTATTTTGATAGAATAGTATTTGTGTTAACCTTTATGGACACTAGGTCATTTTATAATTTGAATGCCAAGAGTCAAGGTCAGTATATAAATATTTTAAATATTGCCTGTCATCTTCACAGGTCAGCGACTATGTCTCTGGGCCCGCACGTCTTTGCAACAATATCTATTGTACGACCCGATTTAAAATAGAAAAAAAAAACAACAACAGAATCCCTAAAAATGATCAAAACGGCAAAATTGAAATGTTGTAGGCTCGATTTGATTGAGCTTGAACATGGACGTTACTTGAAATTGCAAGGTACCGTCCACGCACCCTAGCACCGGCCTACGCAAAATTCATATATCAAAGGGGGAATTGCGAAATTTGGAATTTAGAAATATCCGCAGATGTGTTTATACTATATTTTTTATTGTTGTATTGATATAGCTACTTTATAAAGGGTCGTATTTATCAATCAAACTTTAAACACGCCTAGACATTGGTTAAAAACAGATCATCTATTTATTAATTGAAATAAACTCAAATAAATGGTAAAATAATTTTAATCTTTATTATCTTTCACTTTGAAAAAAAAGTATCGTAAACATTAACCATAAATAGTCTACGAGCTTGCACTGTCTTACTGTTAATGAATAATATAGAGTAAAACATTATAGGTCTATCGCGGGTATTTGATGATGGTACATGCATAGAAGATTAGACAGATAATTGATACCAATTCTGCAATTAATATATTGACGATTCACTGCTGTATACCCTTTTTATTAACACAGAATGATTTGATAGAGCATTTTGTTTTTTGCTACTAAATCATGTAACATATGCCGTCGAAGCCTATGTCTTTAAATTTTATTAACTTAACTGATAATACGAGATTTTTTGCGTTTTGACATTTATTCATTCATTGTCTTAGTTAATATCAACGTCTTCATTATAATTATGTCACTTTGCCAAGGACGCTGCGCCTTACTCTATCTCATGTTTTAAAATCATTCAAGTGACTAAGATATATTCAAATCTTCATACTTATTATGTTCTTGTATTGGCTATCTTTCAAGAAATTGATGAGTATCTTATTCCATTATGATATAACATATTTTGATGTTATTTAATTTGCCACAATATGATTATTTAATCTCATATTTTTTCTACTATCACTCCATAATATTACTTTGGCATTTCTTAGTGTAATTTTAGTCACTAAAATGTGTACCAACTAAATTTGCACTATCCTGACAATTATGTAAAACAAAGATAAACAAGGGTGTGCCACTTTCCTTGTTAATCTTGTTTTCCATTTTTTACATTGAAGGCATGGTTACTGTAATCTTACAAGTTTTACAAACATTAGAAACATTAACATGATTAAGAAACATTTATTTATATCTTCAGTAAACCTTATTATTTTAAAAGCATGGATTAAATGACAAAGATATAGACACAACCATCAATGTTCTTAATTGCCCTATCTAGCTATCAACATAGTGTTTAAGCATTACAAGTAGTCCTAATGTGCCACAAATGTATGCCCGGTTATGCTAATATCCATCTAATAATTGACAGAATTCATGACCGGACATGACCTTTAAAATATGACCTTTAATGTCTGAAATCTTACTTTATGCGACAATTCTTTTCTCACTCAAGACAAATTGTTTCAAAGTACCACGTATTTATGCTTAGCTCTCGCTGAATAACACATATATGGACTGGACATGGCCACAAATGCACTCTCATACCATGACTTTTGAAATACAAGTGTGACCTTGAAACATTTGTCCGCTACATGTCGTCTTACAAAGAGGCACCATATTTATCCCAAATGATTTTTAATTCATCCATGAATGACAAAATCGTTAACCAAACTTTTTAGACACTTTAAGGAAATATTTTGTTCGAAGTGAAAGTATGATTTTGATCTTTGATCTACATCTGTATTCATCAGATGGGTTTACATGTGACTCATTGTCCCAATGTGCCATATATTTATGCAGAATTATTATTTCAAAAGGCATCAATTAATGAGAAAGTTATAGATCGGACACAACCACCTTGTTACGTTTATATAATGATTTATGATATAGAAATTTAACTGTAGACATAACCCTGCTTGTGCATGACACGACCTTTTCAAGTTACACATTTACGCAGTTATTGTCGTTCCAGGACGGCGGCATATACAATTAACAAGATTTAAATATTTTTATCCGTACACCACATGCTCTAGGTCAATCAAACAGATAATTTAATAGCACATGATAACAAAATAGACGACAAAAGTCCTAACACATGGGCCTCAACCACCATGTTCTTGTCGGGTTACCTATATAAGCAAATGAAATACTATCCTCATGTACGAAGCTCGGCACTAATTTGTAGGGGCTTCCATGGGATAAACACCATATGAAATATTTCTCTTACAAGAAGAAACATAAACTCTATTTTTCAGGAAAGTAGTCTACATTGTATTTCATGAAAAAAAAATATTTTTCGAATGCCAGCCTGGATGGCGATTCCTATATTACTTTTGGAAATATTTTAGTCTAAGACTTTTTTAAATATCATGTCGTGCATGAAAAATTGTTGATCGGGTTCCCCACTAATGAACTTTTACCAACTTGTCTTTCTTGATAGACATGACCCTGATCTTTGGACTGTTGAATTGGCTCTCAATCACTCCACGTCACAGTACATGTTCTTGCGCAATTGACATTGACATAAGAAATAGCCAAAGAATTTTCATGGTATCCCTGTTTGAAGATTAAGTAATAATATAAAGTATATCATTTCCCAATCCGTTATAGGCCGTATATTTATGCTTAACTTTTTTCAAAATCCATCTCATAATGACAGAATACTTAAATGCACATCTTTTTTTCTAGCACTTTCAAGTCTAACTTGAGGAGTTGAGCTTCAAACCTGGGTCTTTCTTATGACATTGTATCAATGTGCCACACATTAATGCAATTATTTCAAAATATATCAAAAAATGACAGATATGGACGAGATTAAAAACGGACAGACAGGGACAAGCTCTTACTGAGAGATATGTGAAGATGTCTGTTATCTTCATGTTTGTTTCTTCCCATAATCAATGATTCATCCAATAGGTTGGAGGTATACGGAATTAATCTAAACGCCTAATTGTGATCGCAAATACCCCTAACTGAGACAAAAGGACGCTCGGACAGACGAACAGACATTTGAGCAGGTCCCCCCTCAGGGCGATACAAATCCAATTTAAAAAACATCGCACTAATTTAAAGACCATGCATTGTATTCTTAGAAGTATAAAATAACATCTCAATGACAAAGTGAGGGCGAATATGACTCTCATTTTCGTTGTATTAGGGTAAATTGTGACCTTTGTGCACCATAAAATTTGTTGTTTTAATGGATGTTTTTCAAAATCTGCGCATGGAAGTCTTAATTTTAGTATCACTGCACTTCTAATAAAAGAAAACATGCCTGGTAAAATGTCTGCTTGTGCTTGTTTACTTTAATTATAATACATTGTATAAAACATAGGAAATTGTCAGCCATTTTGAAATCCAAGATGGCTGCCGCAATAAATTTTATTGTTTTTGCATCTATTCTTCTCGTCCAGACTAAAATTAACAAAGCCTTAAATTAAAATGCCATAAAATATGTATATATTACGCCCATGGGAAAATTAAAGTAAAATTAAAAAATTCAATGGCGGCCATTTTGAAATTGATTTTTAAATGTCAAGGACAAAAAATACAGCCGTGGTAGAGCAAAAAATGAATTCAGCGTACTCGAAATAGGTAAGTAAGCCCAACTACCTGCTTGTACTAAAAAATGCCGTTAGGATGAACATTTTCCCAAAATCAAACCAGTCTATAATGAGTTATCTTTTGTTCAGGTATTTAAATTATTTCAACATTTAGTTTTCCATATTTTTCAACAAAATGATTTGTATCAGTTGTTCATTTGATTATCTGTCATACTGTATTTGACAAAGTCATATGATAATTTTTTTTTTGGTGAAGTTCTTGTGCACTGTACTCACAAAGTTTTGGACATGTTTTATCGCATTTGTGTTTCGACAAGCATTATCAGATAAATGTACAATGTATATCTATATATACATACATGTAAATTTTGTATAACTTTATCACATCAAAAGTACTTGATCATACAGTATGCATTTCTACATGTATTTTGATGGTTCATAAAGAGAGCAAATGTCTACATTCAAATAAAAAAGAAAACTAGAAATATGTCCATAGAACATGGGTGCCCCTAACACTCCACTGTTTTGTCAATCTTCTGACTAGCTTAAATATTTTTTGGGCTCAAATGACACAAGTTGAAAACTGAAAATCTTAAAATCTACTAAGTCAAGGTAAAACTGAATAAATCCACAAGCAAACCCCTAGGTCAAGGTGCACAACTACACATGCTGACCACAATTCTTGAAACTTTCAGGACTACAGGTCAAACACTTTTTAAAAAGCAAGTTATGAGCCGGTTGAAATGGAATGTAACAGATAATAATATACCATTTCTTAAAATTAAACAAAAAAAAATTGCATGATACAAAGTTAATCAAATGCTTTTAGTGTCCAAACAATATTTAACTTGCTTTCTATATATATACTACTCAAAATTTGCTAAAGATCACTTTTCTACAATGCTTTACTTTTGTGTATTTGTAATAAATGTGAAAATTGATGAATTCAATATAATTAGTTAGGAATTGGTTTTTATAAAAATAATGACAATGGAATAGTTCCTTGACGTGTTGCGGAAAGAGTGTGTTGGACGAAAATTAACATTGTGGAGATCACAAAGTGGAATACAAAAAAATCTTGAAAGTCAGGAAATGGTTTACATAGGGTGTTAAATACCGAGTAAGGTGTCCGTGGGCATTTATTATGGCCTGGCATCACTGCCGCATGCTGCTAATGAGCCTGTGGACCTTGTGATGAGGAATCTGGGTCCATTTCTCTATAATTGCATGTCTTAGCTTCTGAACTGTTGTTGGTTCATCGTGGCGGGAAGAAATGGCTTTCTACAGCATATCCCAAGTATGTTTTATTGGATTTAAATCTGTGGAATTTGCTGTCCTATCCATACGGACTTTAGTTGCGTCCTCAAGATATCGGAATGTGATGTGGGCACTGTGTGCACGTGCATTGTCATCCATAAGAATGAAATCAGGGCCGACTGCGGCAGCGTACATGGACATCTAAGATATCATTGACATACCTTACTGCCATCAGTGTACTGTTTTCAATGATGTGTAGGTCCGTTTACCCCTGAGCCCTTATTGCCGCTCACACCATGACTGAACCCACGCCAAAAGGGTTGTGTTCTGCAATGCATGCTGGAGCTAAGTGTTCATATGGACTTCTCTAAACCTTAGCCCATCTGCCCGTGAAGTCCACACAAAACCTTGATTCATCATTGAAGAGGACCAGGGTCCAATAATTAACTGTCCATGTGACATGAGTCTGCGCCCATTGCAAACGCTCTTGAATACTGCGTTGTGTCAAAGTAATGCGAATTGCTGGCCTCCGTAACCACAACCCAGCATCATGCAACCTGTTTCTAACAGTTTTTGTGCTTACACGCACACCAGTTGCATTCTGGAAGTCATAACGTAAGGTCGTAGCGCTCGAGAACCGTTGGCACCTGGCCTGAAGGACAATAAATCGTTCCTGGGCTTGAGTCGTTGAATGTTCCTGACCTTAGGCGTGGCCCTACAAGACATTTCCAGTCATTTGGAATCGGTTTCACATCCTGGAGACAACACTCTGGGATTCCACATGAAGATGGGCAACATGCATTTGTGAACAGCTTGCCTCCAACATTTCAATACCCCTGTTCATCTCATCTTCACTAAGACGACGTCTATCCTGTCGATTTGCCATAGTTTGTTAATTTCGAAAACAGTTTTGCAATAAAAAGAGTGAAGTCTCGCTGCTTGTACAAGTTTAAGTGAAAGCACATGGCCATTAAACACCAAATTTCCATGGGTATGCTTTTCCATGTACTTATTGAGCAAGGTGTACATAACATACCGATAACTTAAGTACACGATTATGAGGTCCCTGTACAGATGTATCTTTAGCAGAAATATGATTTTAATATGATAATAGGAAGGAAATATGCAATGTCAAAAAGATGATCCTTAGCAGATTTTGAGTAGTATATATATATATATGACCTGTTTGTAGTTAAGTGGAGTAAATTCAATACATTAAATGAAAAGTTTGGCATGCTTAATATTTTAACATCTGGTAAAGGGGTGAATCCTCCGAAACGGAGATAATGATGTTTCTGCTTGAGTTTAGTTGGTATTGTATTTGTATCTTATCACAGTGATAAATCATGTATTACTTTAAACTGTTTCCTTTGAACAGACATTTGTGCCATCTGATATGGTCTGCAGTGTTCACTATTCAGTCAGTGCATATTTTGAAATTTTCCCTTTAAAAAGAAACAGTAGGTAATAGTTTTGTCCAGACTGAAACTTATGGACAAGTCCAATGAAGATATTGAGCAATAAGAATCACATTAGCAATCCTCTTTCTCCATCCTTGTTATTTTTCACTCACAAATTGCTTAGTTTGTGTGACCAGGCTTCTTAAAAATATACAAATAATGGCTATATGACAAGGAAAACACAAAAATAAGAGAATCATTTTTTTTAATCGATAAATAAACCCTAACAAATCATTATTATAATTGTTTATAGATATATTAATGTTTTATTAATATTCAAAACTCCTTGTAAATATTTGTTGAAATAATCACACAAAGTCTAAGCTAGTTTGATAATTTACAAGCTGCATTAAAAAGACATTGAATAAAATGTTATATTGAAATAGTTTAAACTTTGGTCATGTATTTTCTGCAGGTCATTCAGATAAAAATAATTTTATTCCACAGATAAATCATACGCTTTAATGTGAGCATCTTGTTGACTAACATACAATCTGTTTTTAACTTGGCAGTATGCCACAATTACTGGTTCAATTAATCCTAGTAGAATCTTCACCTTGGTCAGGTCAGATGATAATTGATGTATATTGTTTGACCAACTTCCACATACAAACACTGCTCCCGACCTATCTACATATGGCCTCTTCAACTGGTCATCCTTGTAAATGGCCTTGACTTTCCCATCAAAAGTTAAACCTATCACACAGTTATTCTCATAGTCAGATACATATATAACTGTGTTGTCTGTACTGACTGTTAAGTAATCAGGATTAACAAACAGATATTTCCCATGCTGATCTTTATCAAATATTTTCAATACTTTACCAGACATATCAAGTATCTTTACTTTTGCTGGTCTGTTTGTGTAAGATACTATAAGCTTGTTGTTACTATAGGCAACACCACAACATTCTCCTCCTACTTTGATTTCTTCATTGTTGGTCACTGTCATAGACTTAGAGAATGTTATCAGTCTTATTATTCCAAGTCTTGGAAATGTGATAGCCACTTTGTTATTGTCAACTTTAGCAACAGCCCAAGGGTATGAAGGCAGGTCTATTATATCATATGATGTAGTGCTGACGGACAAATCCTTGAATATAATCAGCTCACTACAATTAAAATTAGAATTAGTACTCAGAAGACAGTTTTCAGATATTAAGCATAAAGATGACAAGGAGGCACATCTTAATTTAATATCTGTGTAATAACAAGCAGTTCTTTGTACTTCAGATTCATGTATTTCTTGATAGGTGAAAAATTTGTGACAGTCTTGTAAATTGGTTATATTTTGTTCAGAAGCTTTGCATTCTACTTTGTAATAATGAATTAAATTGTCTTTACATTGTTTTCCTGCATCTGGTTTCAATTGTTCAATGACTTCTTCACCTCTCTTCATAGCAACAAACAGTTGGCACCTTTGATCTGTATTTTGGTGATGAATCAGCTCTGTTGATATGGCTTTTAGTTTTATTTTCATTTTTGAGGTCTTCTCTGTGATTGCCTGCAAAATTTTCTTGTCATCCTTTTTTATGATTTCAATTTTCTTCTTTATTTCATTTTCCTCATTATTTAATAACTTTTCTAATCTATTTTGATCTTCTTGTAATTTTTCAATCTTCTCTTTTTTCTCTTGTTTAAGTCTTTTTAAGGTTTCTTCTATCTTTTTGTCAAGGTCTTGAATTACTTTGTTCTGATGTTTTTCGAACACTGACAATATTTCTTTCTTTTTTTTCATAACTGTATCTAATATTTTTGTTTCTTGTGAAGCAACATATTTCATGTTTATGTTAACATATTTTTCTGTATTTTCCAAAGCTTTCATTAACTTATCAACATTTTCAGTGAGTTCTTTGGTTTCTTGGCTGTTTTCAATCCCTTGAACAAGAGCTGGTAAATAACTGATCATACTACAATTCCCATGGTCTTGAGTCTTGCATTCAGCACAGGCAAATTTCTTACAAGCTTGACAATAGAACTTGACTAATTCATCTTGATGAACAGAACATTTCTCCAGACAGAAATCCTGTGGCATGTTATCCTTATCCTTTATGGTATGAGATTTCTTGTATACTCTATGGTATTTAAGGCAAGTCCTACACAAGTACTCTAAACATTCCTCACAAAATCCCTCAGCAGGAACATATTGATTGTCTTGCTTATTACAAAACTCACAGAACATTTCTTGAACTTCATCAGAGTCCTGTGTAAATGAGGTACTGAAATCACTTCCAATTGAAAATGCCATAATTCAGGTACTTTTATAAACCCACACTCGTGTTTTTTTTTACATAATTTCAATATTTAAAGTAATGCCAATATTAAATCATTATTATCTATGATAACTAGTGCATCATATGATCATCCCATGACAAGTTTTACACAATGATAACTACAATCTTGTCATAAGGTACTCAAACAAGGTCAGTGTTTTGATAATAGTAGTACAAATGTTAAAATGTACATTCCTTGTCACATGAAATTTATTATCTTTTCAACCAAGGTTGATAACAATATTGAAGAATATACAGTGCTGACTATTCATATGTTAACTATATGAGGCTGAATACAAATCTGAAATGATCATCAGTCTTTATGAATAAAAGTAACATTAACTAACACTTTTTAAAACTTCAAGTTAGGAAAATGTTCTTTAATATATACATTCTTCATCATTTAAACTATTGTTACACTACTTGGGGAAATTTCAGTAAGGAACTCTTAAATGACATGTGGCAAGAATAATTTTGAATACACCCACTGATAGTTTTAGTTTACAATCAAACTGAAAGAAATTCTCTGACAGGGTTCAATATAAAAACAGCTATTTCAGTAAATAAGTCCCTCCCTGATTACATGCAACACCCTGTCACTAATATGGAAAATATACAACTAAGATCATATGAGCATGAACTACTTTCAGCCCTGATACCTTGACTCAAATTCTGCAGAAAATTCCTAAAATATTAAGGCTCAATCATTTGTAACTCCCTTCCTTTATATATATATATATATATATGAAAGAAAGAAAGTCATGAGCGTGAAATTATACATAGAAAAATCGCACGAAAAATCGGCACGCCGCAGTTTTTCGTGCGATTTTTCTATGTATAATTTCACGCTCATGACTTTCTTTCTTTCATATATATTCATTCTTGGGCGGGAATGGTCTTATAAAACAATAAATGTGTTTGCCATAAGATATTTGTAATAAGAAAATTAATAGTGACTGAGTCTGCCAACTGCGGTAAAAGAAGCTATAAATAGCTCGCCGCTATGGTAATAAAAGTGATGACGTCACAATAAAGTTAAAAATAACTTAAATATATAAGGCCAATTAGCACGAAGAAAAAGCAACGGCCGCTGTGGTGTAGTGGTTAGCATACTGGACCGGCAATCCAGAGACCCGTGGTTCGAGTCCCGGCTGCGGCGTGCCGATTTTTCGTGCGATTTTTCTGTATATATATATATATATATATATATATATATATATATATATATATATATATATATATATATAAAAACAAGCATTAGGAATGCCCTTAAATCCTTTACATATATACATTTGTATATTATAAACAACATTCAAAAAATGTATTTGAAATGGTGGTAATCTTCAGTGGAAATCAGTGTTATAAAATTCAACATACATATGTATATGTCTGGTTAAAATTAAATGGGGGTGGTGTGTGCCAGATGAGTCTCGTGCCATACAACAACGTCATTTTAGCGCACTTTATGGATGAACCGCGTTAAAATGACGTAGTGTTAGAAGGAAAATATGTGCTAAGGATGATGTCATTTCGCCGTTGTTATTTAAGTTGTAAGTTTATATGCTATTGTAAGAAAATACTTATGGATGAGATGACTTTAATTTCCATGAACATATATCATATTGAGGTTAACCATTTTAAATATGCAAGAAAAAATATCTGACATATGTTTGCGATTCGGATCGGAATATCCGTCCCTCGGGAACCCGCCCATGGGCGGTAACTCGGCAAGCCTCGTTACCACCCAACGGGCGGGTCCCCTCGGGATGGATATTCCAGTCCGAACCGCAACATATGACAGATATTATTATTATCATTATAATTATTACTGATTAATTTTCAACCACACTGTATTAGGTTGAGCTTCAATCAGAATTACCATCTGCCTCTGAAGCCAAATTGAATAAGAAGCACCGCAATGAAATGAAAACCAGGTTTTCAATGACCAAGTTTTGATGTGACAGCAATCAAAAGGTCAAAGTGCTTAAATATTGTGTAGATGCTGAAAATTCTATTGTAAGCAAATGACCTTGCACTGCTCCCAGATATCTTAGTGGCAATCCAAAGCTGCCATACACGACAAAAGTTTGGCTACTTAGAACTACTGGTATTTTTGAATTTACATAAAGAATGACAGACAAGAAATTCTGGAAGCAAAAACTTAAAACTAAAGGACAAATCATGGCCTATTTTACACATACCTAAGGCTGATTTATCCAATGTCATTGATAGATTATTTTCAGTTATTGCTACATTTTATCAGTGATTTATTAACAAAAACATTGAAACTGTTGTTACTGGACTTGAAATTCTCTACATTGGCTGATAATCTTTAATGTATGATCAGATTATGTCAACAAATTAAGGTTGTCTCCCTTTGTATATGACCTGCATGCATGAGTCTAATTTGTTCAATGATGATTAAAGGCCCATTATGCCTAAGAAATGCTTTCATTTATTTTTAGTATCTTATTACAGTTTCAAAATAAAAACACTCATTGTCTGTTGGCAATTTGTATAATTATATTGAATTAGTATTTTGTATGGAAGTATTTTGTTTACATTTTGCAACCTTTTTGACACATAACTCTCAATTCGTTTTTAAAACATTATTAAACATGTTTGGCATTTCTTGACAATAAAAAAATTTCCGAGGCATAATGTACCTTTAAAAAATGTTTTGACAGCATATTCACTAAAAATGTTTCCAAAAAATGCCTATTAAATCAAATCTACATTTTTCTTAAAAAAATATAAAACATAATTTTAAAAACAAGAGGGCCATCATGGCCCTGAAATGGCTCACCTGTATATAGGCCCCTGGGACAAGACCAATTTTAAACGAGGGGCTTTTATTTGAACAAACATGGTTTAAAAGAGAATTTTATTTCATTTTTTTTTTGTGTGAAAAAAAATATTGCAGAGGGGTTATTCAAAAGTAATGAAATTTAACTTGAAATTAAACTTGCCGTTAATCGTTAAGTATGTAATATTTACATAAAAGTAAGAAATATTACATACTTAACGATTAACGGAAATAAAAGCATATGTCGTGCATTGAGGGTACTACCTATGTGTGTTTAAAAATGAGAGGGTACCTGTGATATAAAAATTCAAATGAAGAGAGGTAGCCCGTGCCGCTGCAAAACCGAAAGTAGGGTGTTTTTATGAACTTTACATTTATTTTTGACAATGTACTGCCATTTGTCCGAAGATGATATGTAAATGAACATATTGAATATGTATGATGCATATATAATCAAGCCACATAACCATTTCAGCCCAAAAAATATGTCGAGGTGATGGGCGAAGCAAGACATGTCGATTTTTTGTAGCTTATTGTGAATTTGTAGTACATGAAAAACGGACACATGACAAATCAGTACAGAGATAAAACATTCTAGTGTTCCGTGGTATACATGTTTTCTACGTGTCATACCTTCTTTCCTTATTTAATTGAAATTTTACTGTATGGTTATCCATCGCAGGTTAATGTTTTTAGCAGAGAGTGGCCTGTGCATGTGCAAAAAGGGTACCGTTTCAGCAGATTTCGCAAAGAGGGTACAGATATGGATATGCACTGTGCCTCTTGTGGTTTCAAAGTTATGTCCCGGACAAGAAAAGCGGACAGACTGACGGACATACTCACAAAATGGTACTTATGTGACTTTTCCTTTGATCTTTTTGCCATTTTTAGTCACACAAAGCTTAAAAAAAGACACACAAGTAAAAACGGAATGAAAAGGATCAAAGAGAATTTACTGTTACCCATTGTTCTCCAAGCCACACAAGTACCTCTTTGTTTGTATGGACAGACTGACGGACAGACAAAGCGGCGACTATATGCTCACCCTTCAGGAAGCATAATAAACAGTGTCCGTAGTTGTATAAAGGCTTTCATGACATTGATGTTTTGATGCTTTGAGACATTGATGTTTCTGCTTGAGTTTAGTTGGTAACATATTTTTATTTTATCACTGTGATAAATCATATATAACTTTGAACTGTTTCCTTTATACAGACATTTGTGTCATCTGATATGGTCTGCAGTGTTCACTATTTAGTCAGTACAGATTTTGAATTTTTCCCCTTTTAAGTGAACAACAGTTTTGTCCAGATTGAAAATGGACAAGTCCATTGAAGATATTGAGTGTAGTTAATAATCTGATGTTTATGGTACCAATCATGTTACCAACCATCTATTTCAAAAGTTGACCATGTAGTCTTATTTTTCACTCATATATTTATATATTGTTAAGTTATTGTAATGGATTCTTAAAAATATGCAAACACATGTAATGGCTTTATGACAAGAAACTCACTAAAATTATAGAATCATTTTTTTATTTGATAAATAAACCCTAACAAATCATCTTTAAAATTCTTTAATAATGACTATACACTATACAAATGTTTCTTGAAACAATCACAAAATGTCTCAGCTAGTTTGATCATTTACAAGCTGCATTAAAAAAAACATGAGGTAAATTTTATATTGAAATAGTTTTAACTTTCGTCAAGTATTTTCTACAGGATATTCAGATAGTAATAGTTTTATTCTAGTGATAAATCAAACACTTTAATGTTATCATCTAGTTGACTCAACACATACAATCTGTTTGTATTCTGGCAATGTGCCACAGCTACTGCTCGTTCTTTACCCAGGAGAGTATTTACCTTGGTCAGGTTAGGTGATAATTGGTGTATATTTTGTGACCAACGTCCACATACAAACACTGCTCCAGACCTATCTACTGTCAGTTGACATGGTTTATTCAGCTGGTAATCCTTGTAAATGGCCTTGACTTTCCCATTAAATGTTAAACCCATCACACAGTTCTTCTCAAAGTCAGATACATATATAACTGTGTTGTCTGCACTTATTGTTAATAAATGAGGATCAGCAAACAGACAATTCCCATGATGATCATTAACAAATATTTTCAATACTTTACCAGACATGTCAAGTATCTTCACTGTTGCTGATCTGGTTTTGTAAGATACTATAAGCTTGTTGTTACTGTAGGCAACACCACGACAACCTCCTCCTACTTTTATATCTTCAGTGTTGGTCACTGTCATAGACTTAGAGAATGTTATAAGTCTTATTATTTCAAGTCGTGGAAATGTTACAGCAACTTTGTTATTGTCAACTTTAGCAGCAGCCCAAGGGTTGGAAGGCAGGTCTATTGTATCATATGATGTAGTGCTGACTAACATATCCTTGAATATACTCAGCTTATCCCTATCAAGATTAGTAACCAGAAGACAGTTTTCTGATAATAAGCATAAAAAAGGTTTTGGAGCATAGAAAGAAAAACTGTTTAATAAAGATGCAAAGGAGTCGGATTTGAATTTAATATCTGTGTGACAACTTGCAGTTCTTGGTACTTCAGACTCATGTATTTCTTGATAGGTGAAAAATGTGTCACAGTCTTGTAAATTGGTTATATTTCGTTTAGAAGCTTTGCATTTTACTTTGTAATAATGAATTGAATTGTTTTCCCATTGCTTATCTATATCTGGTTTCAATTGTTCAATGATTTCCTGTCCCTTCTTCATAGCAACAAACAGTTGACATCTTTGATCTGTATTTTGGTAATGAACCAGCTCTGTTGATATGGCTTTTAGTTTTATTTTCATTTTAGAGGTTTTCTCTGTGATTGCCTGCAAAACCGTCTTGTCATTCTTTTTTATGATTTCAATTTTCTTCTTTATTTCATTCTCCTCATCATTTAATAACTTTTCTAATTTCCTTTGATTTTCTTTTAATTTTTCAATCTTCTTTGTTTTCTCTTCTTTAAGTCTTTTTAAGGTATCTTCTATTTCCTGCTCAAAGTCTTGAATTATTTCTTTCTGATGATTTTCAAACACTGACAATATTTTTTTCTTTTTTTTCATGACTGTATCTAATATCTTTATTTCTTGTGAAGCGACATATTTCATGTTTATATTCACATATTTTTCTGTATTTTCCAAATCTTCCATTAACATATCAAGATTTTCAGTGAGTTCTTTAATTTCTTGGCTGTTTTCAATCCCGGGAACAAGAGCTGGTAAATGACTGACCATACTACAGGTCCCATGGTCTTGTGTCTTGCATTCAGTACAGGCAAATTTCTTACAAGCCTGACAATAAAACTTGACCAATTCATCTTGATGAACAGAACATTTCTCTAGACAGAAATCCTGTGGCATGTTATCCTTATCTTTTATGGTATGAGATTTCATGTATATTTTATGGTATTTTAGACAAGTCACACACAAATACTGGAAACACTCTTCACAAAATCCTTCAGCAGGAGCATATTGCTTGTTATGTTTATCACAAACCTCACAGAACATTTCCTGAACTTCATCAGAGTCCTGTGTAAATGAAGCACTGAAGTCTATCCTGGAATATGCCATTATTTTTTTTATTTAAAATATGAATTTACTACACAGTACTGTCTATCTAAATCTGTTTAAAATGGTTCAAATGAGGAAGTATAAATCTATCCATTGAGAGATTTATTATGTGTGTCTATTTGCTTTTTCATGTTATTGATAAGGGATATATAAATAGCAATTGTTAAGATAAACTACTACTTGGTCTTAAGATTATAAACACATGACAAAATATTCAACAACTGATTTAACTTTACAACATGTTTAAATTTGTTTTGACTCATTTTTCATTCAAAATATAACTATATATACATAAAAATATAACTGTCATGTTCTTGTAATATTTTGAAATTTGTGTATATTTTCCCACATTTAACTTTTAGCCTGATTTCCTTGTAAACTGAAATCACTTCCAATAGAAAATGCCATAATTCAGTTACTTTGGTAAACCCACACTTGTGTTTTGTTTAAAACAATCTCAATATTTAAAGTAATACCTATATTAAATCATAGTTATTTATGATAACAAGAGCATCATATGATCATCCCATGACATGTTTTACACAATGATAACTGCAATCTTATCATAAGGTATTCAAAAAAGGTCAGTGTGTACAAATATTAAAATGTACATTTGTTGTCACATGTGATTTCATTATCATTGTCACATGAATTTTTGTATTTTCTGATCGCAAGATCAGTAAATACATAGCTAACATCCACGGTCTAACACAAAATTTCCTAACAGACCTAACAACGCAAAGTAGATCTCACTCAAAACTGCTTAAAAACCAGCAATTTAAAAGACAGAATAATTTTTAATGTAGGCATTTAACAAATTACAGTGCATTGAAAGTTCAGATTAGTCAATAGAAATATGAGGTTACAATCACAAATTTTGCGGATGAATATCATTTTAATCAATGAAAATGTTCTTTTTAGCTATGTCGATTACTGAATACTCCAGGGCGTAGTACACAAATAAATCTGACTGCCGAGTAGTGGAATATATGCATGTCGGACTGTTTTGGCGAGAAGATTTTCCCTAAATTATTTCTATCAGTGTTAAACAGGTTTATCGTGAACAAAATACCTCGAAATTGATAAGGATTACAAACACAAAATAGAAATTCTCAATTTAAAATTACAATGTATTTGTTTTTATTCAGGCTACATATTACGTATTACTTCACCGTGGTGCAGGGGTATTGCGCTGGTATCACGCTCGTTTAGGGTGTGAAGGTCTAAGGTTCAAATCCTAGTCAAGGCAACTTTTTTTTGAAGTGTCTTTTTTAAGGAAGTAGCCATGATAAAGTGTGGCTGTCATAAAAAATGATTTTTGATGCAACTCTAGTCATCCAAAATTCCATATGTATCAATCTCAAACTATTATAGAAAAAAATCTTAACGCAGTTGCTGCGTAAGATGTATTATAGTATATAAAAATAAACTTATATAGGAAAATACATACAGATAGTCAGTATGATTTAGATTGCAAAGATCAGAAAATACCACAGAGCTTGCAGCCCTTTGATTTTTTATCTTTTCAGGGTGTTATCAACCTTGGTTGATAACTTTTTTTAAAGGAATATACATTGTTTACTATTCATTTAAGGCTGCATACAAATTTTAAATTATCATCAGTTTTTATGAATAAAAGTAACATTAACTAACTCTTTTTTTAAATCTTCAAGTAAGAAAAATGTTCTTGAATGAATACATTATTCCTCACATTTAACTACTGTTAGACACCGGGGCCAGTAGGACAGCTCTCCATATACTTTGTATAGTCGAGCTAAAAATGTTCTTGAATGAATACCTTATTCCTCACATTTAAACTACTGATCGACGCCGGGGCCAGTAGGACAGCTCTCCATATACTTTGTATAGTTGAGCTAAAAATGTTCTTGAATGAATACATTATTCCTCACATTTAACTACTGTTAGACACCAGGGCCAGTAGGACAGCCCTCCATATACTTTGTATAGTCGAGCTAAAAATGTTCTTGAATGAATACATTATTCCTCACATTTAAACTACTGTTAGACGCCGGGGCCAGTAGGACAGCTCTCCATATACTTCGTATAGTCGAGCTAAAAATGTTCTTGAATGAATACATTATTCCTCACATTTAAACTACTGTTAGACGCCGGGGCCAGTAGGACAGCTCTCCATATACTTCGTATAGTCGAGCTAAAAATGTTCTTGAATGAATACATTATTCCTCACATTTAAACTACTGTTAGACGCCGGGCCAGTAGGACAGCTCTCCATATACTTCGTATAGTCGAGCTAAAATGTTCTTGAATGAATACATTATTCCTCAGATTTAAACTACTGTTAGACGCCGGGGCCAGTAGGACAGCTCTCCATATACTTTGTATAGTCGAGCTAAAAATGTTCTTGAATGAATACATTATTCCTCACATTTAAACTACTGTTACACTATTTGGGGGAAATTGCAGCACTCTTAAATGACATGTAGCAAGACTTTGATACACCCACTGATGATTTTAATTCACAATCAAACTGAATGAAATTCTCTGACATGGTTAAATATAAAAACAGCTATTTTAGTAAATAAGTCCCTCCCTGATTATATGCAACACCCTGTCACTTAAATATGGAAAATATACAACTAAGATCATATGAGCATGAACTACTTAAGCCCTGATACCTTGACTCAAATTCTGCAGAAAATTCCTAAAATATTAAGGCTCAATCATTTGTAACTCCCTTCCTTTATATATACATGTATATAAAAAAAAACCAGCATTAGGAACACCCTAATCCCTAACATATATATATTATAAACAACATTCAAAAAATGTATTTGAAATGGTGGTAATCTCCAGTGGAAATCAAATACTTCCATCATTGTTATAAAATTCCAAATACAATGTATATATGTCTGGTTAAAAGTAAATGTCATACATGTACTTACATTGTTTACATTCTTATTAATTTTGTTTACATTCTACTTTCTTAATAGTGATATTTTTCAATAGCTTATTTAATAGCTTAAAGATTGCATTTATATGTTGTATAACAATTGTCAAAATTTGCTGTTCATCAAACATTTTGTTTGTAACTATATACATGTAAATTTGTGAGTCTTTTATAGGAAAGACTCACCATGTCTTTGGTGCATCTTAAAATAAGTGTCTATTATTATTATTATTATTTATATTATTATTACTGAATTAAAAATAAAACTATGGTTGGCAGACACAGATCCAGGTCATTTTACCAGAAGGGGGTTTCAAAATTATGACAAGTGGAAATTTTTATTCAGACAGCGTTTGGCATTTTCCTATTTTTCCATAGTCACATTTTCGTGTGATTTTCATTCATTTTTAGGTGATTTTCACAAAACATATTACATCACCCTAGAGCAGTAATGCTCTAACTTCTTATTTAATGATTTAACAGGAGTTAACCAGTTACTGCACTAAGGTGACATTAAGTCCTAACCTGGGAGGGTTCCCACATACAATATGAAAACTAAAAAGATGGTAGTGGAGAGATGGATTGACCAGGGACTAGGTTATTAATGGCCATTAACACTGAATCAGTTACAAAGCTCCAACTATGATCATAACAATGTTAATTTATTCCTTGATCTAGATGGATGTTTCCAGTTTCAAATTAAACTTCATATAACTATGAATTATAAATCTACTAAATTACATGGGTTGTACCTAAATTTTAAGCTGACTTTAACAAAATTGTGAAGGGTAAAAACATAAAAAGTAGATTAGACTGGCATGGTTTGTTTGTTTTATTGTTCTTTAACACCTATTTTAACAAATTATTTGGTCATATCTTGGTGGCTGGTCAAACCTAAAACTAACTTGTAATTACAATTTTTTCACAAATGACACATCATGATTTCTGAATCAGAGGTGACAGACAGAAACAACTGAACAGTCCTGACCCATTGTTAGTGAGAAATGAATCAAATAACCAAACCTAGCTTTCTTATTCAATGCTGTTTGTAGTTAATATTTAAAAATCTGGTAAAGGGGTGAATCCTCCGAAACATGCAAGAGACAATGATGTTTCTGCTGGAGTTTAGTTGGTATCGTATTTTTATTTCATCACTGTGATAAATCATATATAACTTTGAACTGTTTCCTTTGAACAGACATTTGTGCCATCTGATATGGCCTGCAGTGTTCACTATTCAGTCAGTGCATATTTTGAATTTTTTGACTTTTAAGTGAACAAAAGTTTTGTCTAGATTGAAAATGTACAAGTCCAATGAAGATATTGAGTAAGATTGCTTACGATAAGAATCACATTAGCAATCCTCTTTCTCCATCCTTGTTATGTTATTTTTCACTCACAAATTGCTTAGTTTGTGTGACCAGGCTTCTTAAAAATATGTAAATAACGGCTAATAATGACAAGAAACTCACAAAAATAATAGAATCATTTTCTTTATTGCATTAAAAAAAAAACCCTAAAAAATCATCATTATATTTCTTTATAGATATATTAATGTTTTATTCAAAACTAATTGTAAAATTTGTTGAAATAATCATGTAAAGTCTGAGCTAGTTTGATCATTTACAAGCTGCATTAAAAAAAAACATGGGGTAAATTAAAATAGTTTTAACTTTGGTCAAGTATTTTCTGCAGGCTATTCAGATAGGAATAGTTTTATTCAAGTGATAAATCATACACAGCACATTGATTCGCAATTATTGTGTTATCAGAGAATTTAATCTCTTCAGTACATTGACTGACATACAATCTGTCTGTATCCTGGCAGTATGCCAAACCTTCTGGTTGGTTTTCACTGGGTAGAATTTTCACCTTGGTCAGGTCAGGTGATAATTGATGTATATTTTCTGTCCAACGTCCACATACAAACACTGCTCCAGACCTATCTACAGTCAGTTGATATGGCTTCTCCAACTTGTCATCTTTGTAAATGGCCTTGACTTTCCCATCAAAGGTTAAACCTATCACACAGTTATTATTATAGTCAGATACATATATAACAGTGTTGTCTGCACTGATTGTTAAGTAACGAGGATCAGCAAACAGATAGTTCCCATGCTGATCTTTATCAAATATTTCCAATACTTTACCAGACATGTCAAGTATCTTCACTTTTGCTGGTCTGGTGTAAGATACTATAAGTTTGTTGTTACTATAGGCAACACCATGACACCAGTTTCCTACTTTTATATCTTCAGTGTTGGTCACTGTCATAGACTTAGAAAATGTTATCAGTCTTACTGTTCCAAGATCACTAAATGTGATAGCCACTTTGTTATTGTCAACTTTAGCAACAGCCAAAGGCTCTGAGGGCAGGTCTATTGTATCATATGATGAAGTGCTGACTGAAATATCCTTGAATATCATCAGCTTTATAGAATAAGTAACCAGAAGACAGTTTTTAGATAATAAACATAAATATGAATACCAGTCACATCTGAATTTAATATC